GCATTTTAATGTTTTTTTTCTTTCATGCATGTGTTTCTAACACATTTATAAGATTATTTCTTCGTTGCTTTGTATGTCCCTCCCCCACAGTATAACCTCTGCTTTCACTCTGTTTGATGTCGGTATAACTTGTGGAGGAGATGGGGAAAAACAAGTCGTTTAAGGATTCAGGTGTACCTGTTGCAACAATGAGAAGTACAAATTGTCATGTCAAAAATGAGCTTTACAACGTCGGTGGGGGGAAGGTTTGGGTGGGGGGGAGGAGGAAGGCTGGGAAAGGAGGTGAAGGGTAAAGAAAGGAGGAGGCTGCAATGCTTGGTAAGAAATGTATACATTATCCTGCCCATGTAATTGTAACCCCTCTGTACAGTATGTTCACAAATAAAATAAAATAAAATAATTGTTAAAAAAAAAGAAAAAAAGGGATAAGAAGCCTTAAGGACCGTCTTTTGTGAAATAACTTCAAGTATATCACTACTTACTATTTCCAAATTTTTTTCCTTTGTTGAGGAAAACAGCCCAGGCTGGCCTCAAGCTCACAATTTCCTATGTCAGCCTATTAAGTGTTAGGTTATGGGCATGAAATACCACCTACTTATCTATTTATGTTTTATTTGAACCCTAAAGTCACTTAAGGGAGAAAAACAAAAACCCATCCCAACAGTCCTCAGTGTCTTGAATCCCAAGGCCCTGCACATGCTAGTTAAGCATGCTATCACTTGAGCTACATCCTCAGCCCTCTCCATCATGTCGTCATCTTCTTCTTCCTCGTCATCTTCATCGTCATCTTCTTCTTGTTGTTGTTCTTTTCCCTCCTCCTCCTCCTCCTTCCTCCCCCCTCCTCCTCCCCATCCTCTTCCTTCTCCTCCTCCTCCCCCTCCCCCTCTCCTTCTTACTATTATTATTGTATTTTTATTGCTAGTCTTGAGGCTTGAATTCAGGCCTTGGGTTTGTCACTATGGATTTTTCTTCCTCAAAAGTAGCACTCTATCATTTGATTCACAATGCTACTGTAACATTTTATTGGGCAGTTTATTATGGTAAAAGACTGAAGCTGGACACTGGTGGCTCACTCCTCCTGTATCCTAGCTACTCAGGAAGCTTAGATCTGAGAATAACAGTTCAAAGCTAGCCCAGGCAGGAAAGTCCATGAGACTCTTATCTCCAATAAGCCACTAGAAAACCAGAGGTGGTGCTGTGGCTCAAGTGGTAGAATGCTTGCCTTGAGCTGAAGTGTGTGGGGACAGTGCCCATGACCAGAGTTCAAGCCCCATGACCAATGAAAAAAAGTCTCAAGGAATTTACTACCCAAGATACATTTGAAGCATGATCCTCTTAGCCTCTTGAGTAGCTGGGATGATAGATAGAAGCCACAGGCTCTCAATCCCTTTACATTGTTTATTAACATCAACTAATTGTACCAGAGTTGCATTTGACATGTCCATATAGGCATGCAGGACCTGGGCCAGACTCCCTTCCCTCCATCACTCATCCCTCCCACTTCCCAAAGCAATCTCCATCAGCTTCATGGTTCCATTTTCAGATGTTTACAGAAAGTATTATGACCATATTAATCCCTTCACTCTGCCGTGGTGTTCTGATAAAGGGCTGTAAAAGCCTTTCACATACACCCTTCCCTTTCCTCTACTCACCAGTGCTCTCCACATGCCACTTTGTGCTTCAGGTACTATGTGGTTTGCAAGGTTTCTCAAGCTTTATTTATTAATCTTAGGCTCCAGCAGGGTAAGTACTGACAAATGGAATCAGGGCACCTTCCTGTTGCAGGTGAAGCACAGGTTGGGGATGGCAGCAGTATCACCAGCTCCAGGATCATAACCAAGAGCAAAAGAGGTCATAGCCAGAAAGAGAGTGGGGGAAGACTCCATACTGGGCCTTCACACCTGAACAGGTTTTATGAGGAACGTTTAATTTCCTACCACCTATCCCTTGACAGGTAGCTGTTATTGTCACTTTTCCATTAGTTGTAGGCACTCAGTTAATTGTTGTTTAAATTTGAACACACTGCATTATTAGAATCATAAGGACTAAGGACAAATAATGTGTATTGTTTCTTGTTTATTCTCTCCCTGATTTTATTTTTCAAAGCCAATAATGTTGGATCAATTATGTTTTCCCATTCTCTGATAAATTTTTCTTTTGGGGTCCAGTCGTGGTGCCTGAACTATGGGCCTGGGCACTGTCCCTCAGATCTTCAGCTCAAGGCAAGCACTCTACCACTTGAGCCACAGCACCACTTCTGGCTTTTTT